TATAAGTAAAAAATGTAAGGCATTCAAGGTCAAGTCAAGCGAATCTGGGTATAAATTTGTTTGAGTTCAGCTCCATAAACAAATAATATATATTTGAACAAATTTCAAACTCATTAAAATAATCAAACTTGAACATTAGGGAGTTCGATTAAATTAAACTCATTTCAGCCTTTAGAATATGTTGATTTAGTATAAAGTTGCGCAGCAAAAAATTTGTTCAATGGGGACAAAACTTATTGCAGATTTCTTAAAAGCTCTTTAGGACGTTATCCAACCAACTATAGATAATTAGGTAATAATTTTTCTTGTTCCTATACTATTCCATTTTCCAATTGTAGTTTCATTTTCTAACCTTCCAAAACCCTTAAAAAGTTTTGTGTTTACTTTTATATGACCGCCATTTACAATATAAGCAAGGTTGATACAAACTTCTGGTTCGAAAGAACTAAATTAGACTTTGGTATATAAATTTGCCATGAACGTCTCTCTCGCTCTAAATTTGCTTTTTTTTGAAAGTGGTAAGTATTAAAAAAAACAAACTTAAACACTTAAATCTTATTTGTTATTGTAATTGACTATCAGAAATACTTGAAGAAAAAAACTTTTTAAATTTGCTTCCATTGTAAATTATATTGATATTTCACCAATATAGCATGTAATCAAATGCTAAACCAATGAAACCCAAATTAGATTTTATTTGACAATTTCATGAAACTAATCCGACAAAAAATCTAATTTTTCATCAAATTTTTAGCCACGAATGATGTTCAATTTTTTGAAAATTTAGACAACAAAAAGAATCTTATTTTTTATGATAAAACTAGTCCGATAAATACTTATTTTTCATAAAAACTATAAGATGAAAATTTTCCAAAATTTTGAAATTTTATTTTTCTTCTAAGCAATAATTTTTAAACAACTCTTGAATCACATATAACTAAATCTAATTTAACATATATAACAACTAAATAAACAAGTAGCATGTTTTCATTAAGGTTGGCTTTGATACCACTTTAAGGAATCATAGAGATAAAGGCAGCGAAAATTTAAATTTTTTTTATCTCTTAGAGGACCTTTAGCATTGATAAATCAAATGCAACTAAAATGGATGTTCGAATATGTTACCTCAATCAACAGAGAAACATACAAACAGTTGGAGTGTTTGTCGGAATGGCAAGAGATCCACAAAACCGCTACATGAACCCCTTAGCCAAAACCTCCAAAACAGAATTAGTTCTTGCTAGTGCTAGCTAATTCTAAGACAATAACACACAAAAGATGGCAAAGAAAATTTACCCTAAACCCAACTACGGTTTCAGCCAACAGAGAGAGAGAGAAAGGAATGACTTCTTCCTTTATCTTTCTAGCCAAATTATGATATATTTTCCTTCAAAATTTTCCAGCAAAAATCTCACCAAAATTGTGTGTAAAACTTGTCTTGCCATCAAAAGTTTAAGAGGGTATATATAGACAATAAGTTCACCCGATCGTAATGGAAACCCGAAACTAATTTCCTAAAGCATTGGTTTTTGGTTTCATTACCCCTGTACAACTCCTTATATTGAAAGATTCAACCATAATTGCGACATTAGTCCCTTAAGTTTAATTTATCTCACAAATTAAATTATAAATTATAAAACTTATCTTTCAAATTCTTACTTGAAATTCATTTAATCTGGCTGAAGGAATTTTTAGTGTGTGTGACCCATTAGGTTCTCAAATCCTTATACTATATAAGATTGAGTTTTGGTCAAAGAATAGGTTGAATTTCAACCGCATAGGTAGGGGCTTTCTAGGAATGTGAAATGTTGTATATTAGTTTAAAAGATTCAGGTATAAGTTAAGGAAGCATGTATTTGGGTATGTTTACTGAAATGACCCCATTTTAATACATTTAAAGTTGTCATTAATGAGTCATTTGGGTATTGATGGAATGTGTAATTAGTGTGCAACTGTTTTTGCATTTTGTACGGCCCATATATGCTTGTATGTTGGTGTAATTACCAGAATATCCCTTAACTACCAATTATTCCCCTTTTCAGCCGCAAATAACAGTTTGAGATGTTGCTTTGTCTGAAATATTTGAATAGCAATCGGATTTAGGAAATGAGCTAACGATTTCCCTATCAATGGTAGGAAGCCATTTCTCTATCATTTATAATCTGCATTTATGAGCCACAAACGTTGGTCATTTTATCCCCTTTCCGCTTCAGGAGTTAAGTTTTCCCTTTTTGCCTTTGTCTACAACGATTTGCCTCATCGTTTTCTCTTCCATCTGAGCTCAACTTTGAAATTACCTATTATTTCGTCATTAATTACACCCAATTCAATTGCCAAACCGTTGGTATCTTAATGCCTAAACGGTTTATTATCAGTTTCACCCTGTTAGCATTCTAGAATTGGGATAATTCTATCTGGCTTCATACTAATTAGCTCAGAATGCTCTTCAGTTCCAGCTAGGCTAGTCAACGGGCCGGGTCCGGGTCGGAATTCATTATTCCAGACCCCGACCCAGCATACTATATCGGATCCGGACCCGACCCGTTTACCCGACGGGTCTTTACTCTATGTTTCGGATTCGGATCCGACGGGTCCCGGATCTGGATCTGGGTCTGCTTGAAAAAAAACTAACAAAATTTATAATTCCTAACAAAAATGAGAAAAAAACATATATTTATAAACTAATTTCTAACTAATACAAAAAAAATCAAATAAGAAAAGAAATCAAATTAACCTTACTCAAATACATCACCCTAATCAAATTATATTGATTAGGATCCGGATCCAATTATATTGATTACTCAAATACATCATCCGAATCAAATTATATTAATAAATATATATATTTTTTAAATTATTAACCCATTTATATCTGGATCCGGGTCCAATACAGGTCAGAATACTATATTCCGTATCTGACCCGTTTTTTTATTTGGCAAAATGGATCCGGATCCTGATCCGGATCCGGGTAACGGAATTAAATCCCTACCCATACCCGGATAAATTTGACGGATCCGGTTAGGGTCCGGGTCTAGACCCGGACCGTTGACAGCCCTAGTCCCAACTATTCCTGGTGGTTCAGCATGAGGTTAGATTTCACACCTCAATTTTTCAGTTCCTCCCTTAATTTTGTCGGTGTGTTCTTAGTACCTATAATTAGCGACTCTTATCGCGTTGTCTAGTTGCAAGATAGCATTTTTCGCGTAACCTAACCCCAATTGGTCTGGGTTGGTTATAATCTTATAGGTTTGGAGCAACAGCAAGAAAGAGCTCTCGGTGGGGATTCTGGAATAAGATTAGATTTTTGTGTTGCTCTGCCTTTTTGCATTATCAACGACCTTCAATTTGACACAGTTTTATTGTAACGCTGTATGAATTGATTGATTATATCATTTATTTTTTCATACTAAATTTTAGTTCTTCTCACAATGTACTATTATTTGTTCAACAAAAAAATCTCATTCCCTACAGGCACCAAACACCCGCGCTATGCGCGGACACTCCCCCTAGTACGTTGGTAATAAGAACGAGTTGTAATTCTTGATTAGTAAGAACTAGATAACTTAAATCTCCTTTTAAATTATCATTGATTTAACTAATCAATTGACATTCTTATAGATCAAAATTGGCATCTAGCAATACATCATGATCACCCAAATAATGAGAAAAGTCAAGTGAATGATTTCACCTTTCAACAAATGTTTACCATGTAAATAATATCCTTTTACGATACTTATTTCACTTTAATTATAGAATTGCCTTTCAACAAATGTTTACCATTTAAATAATATTCTTTTACCATACTTATTTCACATTAATTATAGAATGAATCGTGCCAATTTCATTATGCGATTAATGTTCTTATCTAATACCAAAATATAAATCCAAAAGAACAAATACTTAAAAACACTTTTTTAAGACTCATTCACTTAGTATTAAGATTTTTTGAACTATATTTCTACAATTGGTCATTAATGAGAGCTCTTCTTCCATAAAAGATAGTAAATCCTTAAAGATCATTCATTACCTTTCCATACTTCAAGTATATACCCATATGCTAATAATGTAAGCATTATTTTTACAAAAGTAATCATATAACAAATAAAGTACAATCATCCACACTCAAGATACTGTGATAATCTAAGTTCAAGAATCACTTACATAAAACATCATTTAAAGATTAATTCTTTTTGCACAAAAGAAATCTCTATGCAGATCAATATAGTGAACTTGATCATACCATCACGTAACCATATATTAGTTTAGGTATCTGACACATCACAATAGATGAGATCTACTACGTCCCTAATGGAAGCGATATAGTATATGCTAGTTTAACCATATTAATAATGTCTCATTCTTGTTAATATTTTGACTATAGATATTTTAGAATAAACTTTATACTTAATCAAATAAATTTCACCATCATAACACTTATGATTTCATTGATTAAGTTTATCCTAGAAACTTTATCATACAAGTATAAATGCACAAACAATCAATATGATAAAGATGCTATTTATTAATGTATAAATAGTTCAAGTATTTTTTTTTCATTTAGTATAATTTTTTATTCTTTTATATGAGAGGCTGAATATCATTTTTACCCTTAATTTTTTTGAGTTATCCTGCATGCATGTGTTACTTTCCCTCTAACGGGGGATAAAATGGGAAAACGAATGTTTCTTTAGTATCAAGTGAATATTCAAGGTTGTCACGATTAAAAGTACGGGAATTTATTCCCTATTATGTGACCGAGAAAAAAAATATCATTAACAAATATAGGAGTGCCAATAATAATTACTTTTAACAACTTGCAAGGGCCATTTCTCAAAATAAAAATCACGATAAGGCATGGAATTGAGAACATTTTATTGTGCAACACATCTACATAGAAACAAATATTTAGGTGACAAATTCTTGTTGATTGGAAAGAAATTACTTAGAAATGAGGAAAGAGACTTAGTCAACAAGCATAAAAGTCTTATCTTTAAAATACTAACTTTCTTATAGACTTCTGGCATTAGGTTGACTCCTAGCTTCAAACCAAGATCTGTGAGAATCAGCCCAGCACCAAAAAATAGAATTACAGATAATACTCTGTTAATTTCACCAAAATTCAGGTTGGCTTATGAAGAAATCATCCAAGAGCAAGCAAAAGTTCGTCAATATGAATCAAGACAGAATCAGCAACTTACCTGATTCCATTCTCTGCAAAATCCTTTCATTTCTCGACCTCAAAGAGTCTATTCAAACTATTGAATTGTCCAAAAGGTGGATTCCCCTCTGGACTTACCTTCCGGATCTCAACTTTGATTTTGACCGATACAGATTCCAATCTCCTTCCCCGGTATGGCAATCTCAACAAATCTTGCTTCCTTATACTCATTTCGTTAATCAAGTTCTTTCTCATCGCGACAACAGCTCAAGCATACATAAATTTCGATTAGCCTTTGGCGTTAGCGTTAATGTTGATCCAAGCTTTGTTTATAACTGTGTCGATTATGCAATAAACCATCAAGTTCAAGAACTTGATATAGCTGCATATCATTATCCCAAACCATTCCAATTTCCTCAATGCCTTTTCACCTGTCGATCCCTGCAAAAGCTTAGACTGAAGAGTTACTCTCAGAGCATGATTATACCAAAACCCTTTTGCTTACCTACTCTGAAATCACTGCATCTCGAACGCTTTGAGTTTAAGGATGGTGAACCCTTTTGTTTTCCTAAAGAACCCTTTTCGAGTTTCGAAAATCTTCAAGAGTTGACCTTAAATTGTTGCATAGTTGATGGTTTAGCCATCTCTGCTTCCAAGCTTAAGGTATTGGAATTGTTGTTTTATGGTTCTCTTCCTCAGTTTTCATCAGAATCGAAGATGGGAACTATTTCTGCCCCAAACTTGACTTCATTCAAGTTTGAGGGTCAAGTTTCTTTGGTTTGTGCTATGGAGGATCTTCCCTGTCTAGAGACGGTTTATGTGGACCTATACCCACTTCTCGAACGTCCATATACAGATCAAATCGAAGAAAAGATGCCCATGAATCTGATCAAGTTTCTGGAGCAGTTGAAAAATGCCAAATATGTTACTCTATCTTTGTCCACCGTTGAGGTAATGTACTATTTTACGCCGCCCTTTCCAATTTTCCTTTTGAAAGTCAAAGATTTTCATCTATCCATATTTCTTTATACTCCAGAGTACTAATTCAAATAGCACTCTTTTTAACTATTTTAATCAAATGGAAAAATGAATGCCATACCATATATTTCAGTTGTTATACAGGAAAAAAAGGGGTTGGTTGTAATTATAATTGAAATTAATGTATTAATGTCTTTTCACGTAAATTAAGGGAGTTAAGAGAAGTCTGGTTAACAGATATTAGAGTTCCAATGATAATTACCTTTGCTGAATTGTATTTCTAGTTTTCAAGAGCCGTTTCACAAAATAAAGTTGAGGATTACACACGTATAGATATATGTATAATCTGTGGGACATTGTTTTGTGGGAAAAACATATCTAGAATTGCTAATATATGATGGTAAACCAAGATTAGTTCTACTAGCTGCACTCTCAATATTCTCAATGATTTTCACGTTGCACTTTGAATTTTTGTTTGGGCACTTCATATCCTAAAGTTATTTGATTTCTATCGTATTGCATTTCAAATTTTCATTTTTTTCACCCTTGAAAATTTTATTTTGGATATATAGCATCGCCGTTTGGCATGTTTTAATAGACAAAAAATTTTTCTCAACTTTAACTACAAGAACTTGTTAAAACACTATAAATTTTATATAAAAAAAAAAACATATCCCAAAACATCCAATAAACACACCCCCATGTCCTTCTTCTACCCCTAACCATTTCAACCACTGTTGCTGCCGCCCTCACTTCATTCCACCGTTGCAGCCGCCACCTTCACTGCGCACTGCCACCTCCACTACCTTCACCTTTCCCTTTTTCTCCCTTCTCCTCCTCCCCCACCACCCCTTTTCCCTATCATCAGCCCCCATCACCGCCACCGCAGCCTTCCTCGTCGCTCTCCTTTCCTCCCCTCGCCTTCCCTTTCCTCTCCTATCATCCCCTGCTCCTTCCCTGCCACCTCTTGGGCTAATTGCTTAGAATATATGCCAAAAAAAAAAACATCGCACAAATATATTTCTGACACACTTAATTTCTAATTCTATACCGGCCGTGCTGAGTCAGCACGGCCGCGGAATGAATTTTGCAGAAACTCTGCAAACATGTCAGTGGGTCAGCGGCCCACAAATTTTTTTTTTAAATGAGCCTGTCCCAGCCGTGCTGACTGGGCACGGCTGGGGCAGGCAGTAAAAAAAAAAAAGCCTAGGGGCCCGTGTTAGTTGCAAACTTGCAATACATTGCGTTGTTGTGCCTAGTAGGTGGGGTTACAGGAGCAAGAAAGACTTTGCATTATTCTTTTACTGGTGGTGATTCATTCCTACACATTTATATGTCTTCCCTTAATTAACTTGCAATTTTTTCAGGGATCTGTTTGGATTCAGCATTTTTCGAAAAATAATTTATTCATTTACAATGCTACGGTAATATACAAAAAAAACTCAAAAAATACAATATCCAAATAATATATCAAAAATAACTCCAAATATATAAATATATACATTAATATATATTTTGTATATTTGGAGTTATTTTTGATATATTCTTTGGATTTTATATTTATATAAACTCCAAAAATACTCCAAATATTTTTTATATATAATATTTATATATAAATATATACATTAATATATATTTTGTATATTTAGAGTTATTTTTGATATATTATTTAGATATTGTATTTTTGGAGTTTTTTTTGTATATTACCGTAACATTGTAAATAAAAAAATTATTTTTCGAAAAATGCTGAATCCAAACAGATCCCTGAAAAAATTGCAAGCTAATTAAGGGAAGACATATAAATGTGTAGGAATGAATCACCAGTAAAAGAATAATGCAAAGTCTTTCTTGCTCCTGTAACCTCACCTACTAGGCGCACTAGTAGTTACAGCAGCTAATGCACAACAACGCAATGTATTGCAAGTTTGCAACTAACACGGGCCCCTAGGCTTTTTTTTTTTTACTGCCTGTCCCAGCCGTGCCCAGTCAGCACGGCTGGGACAGGCTCATTTAAAAAAAAATTTGTGGGCCGCTGACCCACTGACATGTTTGCAGAGTTTCTGCAAAATTCATTCCGCGGCCGTGCTGACTCAGCACGGCCGGTATAGAATTAGAAATTAAGTGTGTCAGAAATATATTTGTGCGATGTTTTTTTTTTTGGCATATATTCTAAGCAATAAGCCCACCTCTTGTCTCTCTCCCCCTCCCCTCTTCCTTCCTCTCCCCCTCTTCCCCAACTCCCGCCCGCACTCCCCCCTCATCCCCCTCCCTCCCCGCCACCAGATCTGGTAGTGGTGATGGGGAAGAAGAGGGGGGTAGTGGTAGGTGGTGGTGGAGGGAAGACAAAGGGATAGGGGTGGCGAGTGGTGGAAGGGGTGGTGGTGATGGTTGCTTGTCAGTGCAATGACAAGGGTGGATGAGATGTGGTGGGTGATGGAGCTTTACAAATATTCTCCAGACTCTTCAAATATGCAAAGTTGTTGTAAAAATTCTACCTTAACAAACTCTTAAAAAACACACCATCTAAATGGACCTGTTATCTTGCACACAAATTAATGAATATTTGCAATATATGCCCACATACCATGCTGCCCTTTCTCTGGCTAAGACTGGCTAAAGAATGATTCAACGCGTGTGCCTTTTTGTTTTTTTTGTTTTTGGTTTTTTTTTTTGTGTAAGCCCAAACTGTGTGCTTTGGTTTTCTTGCATTCATTTACTAGTTAGCAACCTAAATCCACAAAAAAAAAAAAAAAAAAAAAACTAGTTAATGAGATTTGATTGAGCGACAATTGCGCTCCAAAAAAAAAATTATTGTGATAATTTTAGGGTCAAACTATGCAAAATAAAAGTTGATAGTACAAAATTTAAAACAGTATAAACTTAAGAGTCTGTAAAGTGGTATCAGCGTTTATAAAGATCGCTTTCAACATTTAGTTTGTCGCTAATGTAGTAGTTGTTGTTGTTGTTTTTTTTTATTTTTTTATTTTTTTATTTCTCAAATTTACGTGCTTTATTTACTCAATTTTGTCACTATGAAGTGTATTTTCTGTATACATTGCGGGACAATCATCGGATTAGATAGATATTAGATAATTAAAAGGATCTTCAAAGCCCCCTAAAGTATGGAAATCATGATCTTTTAGAAAACGAATTTATTTATGCTCCTCCAAGTTATTTACATGGAAGGAAAATGAACTCTCGTTTGGCTAATTTTTCAATGTAACTTGTTATTTTCTATTACTATTTGCCCAAAGGTTCTTGCTATGGAGTCCATTGCTCTCGAAGATCACCCTTCTCCATTTCATAATATGAACCGTCTAAAATTGATAACTGAACCAGCTTGGCAATATCAAAGCACAGTTCCCCCTCAAAATGTGATGAATTACTTGACTGGGGCATCTTGTTTTGGTGACTCTCTTGTGGTGGAGTTGGGTAAAGCCTAAAGGTGCTTTGTAGTTGATTTCTCCTATGTAATTTACACAAGTCATTTTAGATTAGAACGGAAAAAAAAAAAAGATAAGTCATTTTAGGCATATATTATTAATTTAGTGTCTGTTTTCAAGCATGTTGTAGAGGCATCTGTATTCACAACCACATATTCATAAGTCAGCAAAATTAGACTCAAAATAGTAGTAATGAAAACTCTCTCTCTCTGTTTTTTTTTTTTTTTTTTGGTTCTTCTTGGGTTGAAGAAAATTTAGTGATCTTGCCTTGGATAACTTTAGAAAGCTATCAGGAAATTAACTCCACCAAATTTAACTGCATATGCTCTACAGATAACATAGCGACAATAACAAACAAGAGAGAGAACATTACAAGAGAATTGAATAAAAATAACGTAGGTAACAAATCTTCTGTCTCATTTTTTATACTACTCCCTATTTCACTTTTTATTATATTGTTATTTGTATTTTACAAAAAAAATTTTTTTTGTTTCCTTAAAATCTGATAACTATTAACTAAGTAAAAATAAATGCAATAATTTGAAAAAATCAATATATAATAAAAATTAAAAATATAACAGAAAATTAAAACAAATCTCATTTTTGTGTATTTTGAATTTTTAAGTTTATTAAATTTTGTGTATTATTGAAATAAAAAAAATTAAAATATGATATTTATGAAGAAAAAATAACAATACAATAAAATATGGAACAAAAAGTAGCACAGGTAATAGGACAAAAGATCTGTTGCATCACACGCATCCCTATTCCTAGCTATTTTATACTGATGATTGTGTATTTAATACCAATTGTGTCCCATGATTAAAATGACATGGTTTTGCTATGCTTTACCAAAACTGATTAAAGTCTGCTTGCCAAAAGCCAAGCCCAATAAAGCATTTGGGCTAATTTAGAAGCCGCCCCAATGTTGTAATCAGAATAGTCCAACTGAACAGAATGGTTTAAAGATGAGCAAACGATGTGGTTGTGGCAAATTTCTCAGAATATTGCTAAAATCAAAATTTGTCATAATATTGGTGTGATTTGAGAATTGTTTCTAGTTTAGGGGTCGCCGCATTTACGACACGAGGCTACCAATAAAAGTAGTATTAATTTGTATTTATTTTAGCTGACTTTAGTTTTCTCAATTTTCTTCCTTTTTTTTCAAGCTTTCGCCGCTCATGAGTTGCAAATCATCTCTACTGACATTCACCACGACCGTTCATCAAGATATGACAGGATATGATCAACGGTCTGCGGCACTCGACGATTTTTTTATTTTTCCTGACGCAGCAAATTAATTTGTGGCGTCAGTTTTTTTTTCCCTGACCCCTAAAGAAACCCAAAATGAATGAAAATTTAAGTTTTTTTTCCTAACCCCTAAAGAAATTCAAAATAAATGAAAATTAAAAGTATTTTTATTGGAAGCCTCACGTCGGAGATGCAGCGATCCCTAATTTGGAACTCACCCTCAAACCGCACCAATTTTCTAACAATTTTCAATTTTGACAATATTACAAGAAATTCGCCGGTGATTGGTATGTTTGACAGTGACAATTAAAGATTCTGTTAATTGAATTAGTTGAGACAGTGAGTTCCCTTTTCCTATCCCCTAACACAATTCTATTGATTGCCAAAACATTTTTTTTATAATTTTTTAAAATCAGTTTTTTTTTTTTGGTTTGGGTTAAAGGGATTTTTTTTTAATTTTTTTTTGAGTCAAACCAACATAATAATATTATTTCCATTAGTACAAAAAAAAAAAAAAAAATCTTCAAAACCCTTCCAATTCAGAGTAATTGGAAGCTGCCATGATTTGTAACTTTTGTGTATAAAAGGAATGACAAAAAACTGAGGTGCCAAAAAACTCGCTAAAGTTTTTGAGATTCTTATAGCTAATGTTCTATTTTCACAATCTCTCAATTCCTTTTTGGCTTAACGTTTTCTTTTTTCAAGCAAAAAAATTCTTTTTTGGCTTAACCCCTTAACCGTTTTTAACGGTCAAGAAACACAAAACGCCTTCCAATACTCTATATATTCGACACAAATCAAATCCATTTCTTCACCCCCTCATACTTCACTGCATTTTCTCTCTTCGCAATAACCTTACCAGTCATAGTTTCTTCTTCTTCTTCAAAGTTTTTTTTATCAAGAAAGTGAAAAGAATCAAGCCCAGAAATTTTAAGAAGGAAAGGAAGAACAAAAAAGGTGATAAATTGATCAGAATCTCAAAGAAAATGTCATCAGAAATTCAAGCACTGCACTCAAAGACGCATAATTCGCACAAGATTCGTCAACGGCATGACTGAAGGCTAGGTCAACTCCAAATCATTCTTTGATGATAGTGTTTTCTTGAATTAGCCAGTTTGATGTTTTAATGTTGTTCATACATCATCCATCCCACTGACTGAGCAATTCATTTAGAGTATAAAGCTTTAGGTGATACTTAGATGTCACTGCTATGTCCTAGTCCATCAAATTCTTGTTGGGGAATTGAAACTTAGTAGGAGTTGTTGACATTCATTCTTTTTGGGAGTTTAGGATTAGAATCGTAACTTCTTAGTCTGATCGCATGTATGCATGCTTGATCGAAGCCAATCAACTAGTTTAAAGACATGATGATGTATCAAGCTTCCCAACAAAGAAATTTGCTTCACGTATTGTCTATGTGTATTAATTAATGCTCCGTTTCACTCTGTTTTCTGATGCATATATTGAAGAAATGCATTTTTAGTTTGAAAATAATCTGAATAATGTTAGCAAAATAATAATAAGGAACAATATGAATGAACAATGTTAACGAGATAATAATAAGGAACAATGTTAATGAACAATGTTGCCAAATAATTTGAACAATGTTTACGAATTAATAATAAGGAAATGGATAGAAGCTTGATCATGATAAGTACCACTATTCTAAGAAACTATTTTAAGAAGTTGAAATGTTTCCCCAAAATTAAATAAACCCACTTCTTATAAACAAGAAGGAACAGCAAAATACAAGGAGTAGAGAGAATAGAGTGAACAGGGAGGAAAGAATGAGCTACCAGGAAAGTCCAACTGGAGTTTATGTTGTATGTACTTTCTAAACTAGGAGAGCCTAACATTTATAGGTTGCACGAAAAGAAATGCTATAAAAGATAAGATAAAAGGGACGATGCTTCGGAAACATTGGAAGCTGAATTTTGTAACGTTCGGTTGTAGAAGATAAAATTTTATCAGTTTGGAAGAAAATGTGTAGAAAATAAAAGTTTATCCATGTGTAAGAAATTTGTTATAGATGAAGTTGTGGAAAGAGTCAAAAACTCTATCCATTCAGGTAAGATAAATTATTGCCAAACCAAAATGGAAATTTTATCCGTTTGGAGGAAAACTTGTAGAAAATAAAAGTTTATCCATGTGTAGGAAATTTGTTGTAGATAAGTTTGTGTAAAGAATCAAAACTCTATCTATTCAAGTAAGATAAATTGTTGCCAAACTAAAATGGATTAAAATGAAACTAGGTTGTGCTTAACCCACGTGCAGGGAGGTGCAAATCCACTAATTTACATTGGATTGGCCCAACTCAATTTCCCTTTTATGTGCGTGAAGTCACACTAGTTATTAACTCGCTACAAGCCCAATAAAAAAGTTAAACATTATAAAATGATTGAAAGTCGTTTTGATTTTCCAATGTGGAACAAAATTTTTGAATAACAACTACTTACAATAATCTTCCTTCTATTTCAAAAGATTCTGGACAAAAATGTAAAAGATCTGCTGGATTTGTCTAAACTCAATGCAATTAATTTGGTATCTTTTGGACTATGAACCAAAGTTAGACTGACAAAATATGACCTACAAAATTATTGATGAAATATGAATTTTTATGAACCAATAACTCTCGATATATGACAGAAATTTTATCAATCACATTGGAACCCGAAATTTGTTGTTCAACGCGATTTCATGCATTTAGACTGTATGCTTGCCTGCTTATTCATGAAAACTCCAAAGATTGGACTACAAAATCTTATAGGAGCGGCCTTACTCCACTATCATATAGGTGAATTCATCAAATGTATACTGTTTAAATATAACTTCCTAAAAGAATACAAATTCATTAAGACTTTTAAACTCAACCTCATGACTATTAGCAGCCAAAGCACTTATCTCGGTAGGGACTTAAATTTAAAGTACTTCACGGTCAATATTGACTTGTTATTACCCATATGAACCTATTTTATGGAATCTCCAATCACATGGGTTGGGTTACCAACTCTATTGATAACTTGTTGACCCAAGGCCCATTTCCTTTATAATTTGAAGAATTAATTTTCTTCCTATAGGTTTAGTCAGAAGATTGGCTAAGTTCAACTTTGACTTCACAAAATCAATGGAAATTATTCCATCTCTAAACAGTTGCTTTATGACATCATGTTTCAATTTCATGTTTTGGCCTTTATAATTATAGGATTTGTTTTTAGTAGCAATAATTGCCGCTTGATAATCACAGTGTATGGACACGGGAAGTAGCAGATCCTTAGTTGAAGGACTATCGGTTAAGAAGTTTCTCAACCAATCAACCTGAAAACTAGCCAGCTTCATAGGTATGAAGTCTGATTCTGTAATTGATCTAGCAATGATTGTCTGCCTGACTAATTTTTATGCTATTGCACCATCACCAAGGGTGAAAACAAAATCATTAGTGGATTTGAATCAGAAATCCAATTATTGTCACTGTAACCCTCTAATATTGTGGGAAACCCACAATACAGGATAATATAATTCATGGTACTTCTCAAATATTTCATTAGTACAACTAATGCAAATCAATGCTCACGATTGGGATTGTGAGTATATCTACTTAGTCTACACACAGCATAAGCTATATCGGGCCTTGTAAAATTCATTAAATGCATCAGACTTCCAATAATTTGAGCATATTTAGGCTAAACAACTGTGTCACCATTATTTTTCTTTAATTGAGTGTTAGTATCATAAGGAGTGCTCATAGGTGTCAGTGTCACATTAAAAGTTTCAAATTTTCTAAGAAGTCTTTCTGTATAATGTTCTTGTGACAACATAATACC